TAACCCAGGTGCTATGTTCTTCAACATAGTCCAATTTCTTGGATTATTTGTTTAGCATACAGATTGTGTAGTTATGGTGAAAGGTTACAACCCTGATACACACCTTTCTAATTTTAAACTATGTACGCAATATACCTTTTTCTAAAACATAATCCCTACTTTGTTATAATCCACACAGTAGATTACTTTTTCAGAGTCACTAAAATATAAATAAACATCTTTCTGGTATTCTCTGCTTTCAGCCAAGATCAACCTGATACCAGCAATGATAATCCTTATTCTACATCCTACTCTGACTTGAATTTCTGACAGCTCCTAATCAATGTATCATATAACAACTTTTGAGTTATCTTCAGCAAAATGTTACTTGTGTGTGATATTAATGATATTTTGTATAATTTTCACATTATGTTGGATCATCTTTCTTTGGAATAGGCACAAATTTGGATTTCTTATTGTCAGTTAACCAGGTAACAGACTTCCACATTTCTTGGCATAGGTAAGTGAGTGCTTCGGGTGTTGCATCCATTTGTTGTTGTTGTTAAGTGCCATTGAGTCGGTTCTGACTCATAGCAACCTTGCATAGGGTTTCCAAGGATCAGCTGGTGGGTTTGAACCGCTGACTTTGTGGTTTGCAGTCCACTGCTGATCCTACAGTGCCATACCAGGTCTCTATCCAGTTGTTAAAACATCTCAATTTGTATTCTGTCAGTTGCTGGGACCTTGTTTTCTCTGAAACTTTTCAGTGTAGTTTAGACTTCTTCCTTAAGGATCATTGGTATGGAAATAGTTTCTACCGTATTTATTAAGAGGAATCCAAAGTGCTGCTGCTGCTGTTGTTGTTAGGGGCCATCAAGTTGGTTCTGACTCCCAGCAACCTTATGCATAACAGAATGAAACACTGCCCAGCCCTGTGCCCTCTTCACAATCATTGTTACGTTTAAACCCATTGCTGATGCCACTGTTCCAATCCATTTCATGGAGGGTCTCCCTCTTTTTCACTGACCCTACAGTTTACTGAGCATGATGTCCTTCTTCAGGGAGTGGTCCCTCCTGATGATGTGTCTGAAGTATGAGAGACAAAGTATTCATCATCCTGGTTTCTAAGGAGCATTCTGGCTGTACTTCTTCCTACACAGATTTGTTTGTTCTTCTGGCAGTCCATGGTAATATTAATATTCTTCTCCAACACCGTAATTCAAATGCATCAATTTTTCTACAGTCTTCCTTATTCATTGTCCAATTTTCACATGCATATGAGGCATGTGAAATAACATAGCTTGAGGCAGCACACCTTAGTCCTCAAACTGACATCTGTGCTCTTGAACATTTTAAAGAGGTCTTGTGCAGCAGATTTGTCAAATGCAATATGCTGTGTGAATTCTTGAACTGTTTCCATGATGTTGATAGTGGATCCAAGCAAAATGAAGTCTGACAACTTCAATCTTTTCTCCATTTCTCATGATGCTTTTATTGGTCCAGCGGTGAGGACTTTAGTTTTCTTTACTTTGAGGTGCAACCCATACTGAAGGCTGTGTCTTTGATTTTATCAGTATTTTAAGTCCTCTTCACTTTCAGCAAGCAAGTTTGTATCCCAAGTTGCTAATGAGTCTTCCTCCAATCCTGATGCCACGTTCTTCTTCATCTAATCCAACTTCTCAAATTATTTGCTCAGCAAACAGATTGAATAAATATGGTGAAAGAATACAATCCTGGCATACACCTTTCGTGATTTTAAACCATTCAGTGTTCCCTTGATCTGTTTGAATGACTGCCTCTGTGTCTTATGTACAGGTTCCTCATGGGCACAATTAAGTGTTCTAGAATATTCATTCTCTGCAATGTTATCCATAGCTTGTCATGATCTGCACAGTCAAAGCTTTATTTAGTCAATAAAGCCCAGATAAACATCTTTCTGGTACTGCTTACTTTCAGCCAGGATCCATCTGATGTCAGAAATGATCTCTCTCTTTCTATGTCCTGGGCTGAATTGGTTTTAACCTCTGTCAGTTGCAGCCATTTAAAAACTATTTTTAGCCAAATTTTACTTGTGTATGATAATAATGAATATTGTCCAATTATTTATGCATTCCATCAGTTCACCTCTCTTTGGAATGGGCACAAATATGAATCTTTTCCCATCAGTTAGCATAGATGAGTGAGTGCCTCCCATGCTGCATCTGTTTCTTGAAAGATTTCAATTTGTGTTCCATCAATTCTTAGAACTTTGTTCTTTGCTAATGCCTTCAGTGCATGTCGAACTTCTTCCTCAGTACCATTGGCTCTTGATCACATGCTTTCTCCTGAAATGGTTGAACATCAACCATTTCTTTTTGGTACAGTGTTTCTGTATTCCTCCCATCTTCTTTTGATGTCTTCTGCATCATTCAATATTTTGTCCATAAAACCCTTCAATATTTCAAGTCAAGGCTTCAATTTTTTCTTCAGTTCTTTTAGTTTGAGAAATATTGAATGTGTTCTTCTCTTTTGGTTTTCTAACTCCAAGTGTTTGCACATTTTGTTGTAATATTTGACTTTGCCTTCTCGAGCTGCCCTTTGAAATTTTCTGTTTAGGTTTTTACCTCCTCATTTTTTCCATTTGCATTAGTCTGTAGTCTGAACCAACTGCCCCATACAGTTTCCAAGGCTGAAAACCATTATGGAAGCTGGCTGCCAGTTTTCTTTCATGGAGCTCCTGACTTTTTGATTAGTCAGTGCCACTAGTGCTCCTTAGAAATTAACACTTATTAAGTAAAATTTATATAAATTATTCAGATTGATAAGTTATTGCATCTGTATACACACTTGAAACCAACATCCAGACCAAAATAAAGGATTTTTCAGCTCTCAGAAGGTCCCCTGTATCCTCCCAATTTATTCCACTGTGTGAGTACTACTGCCCATCACACTTTTTTCCTCATTAATTTTACCATTAATATAATCATACATTGGAAATTCTGCTATGAACATTCTTGTACATGTCTTTCAAGAGCAATAAACATGAATGTTTTGTTGGGTCTAAATGTAGCCATGGAGTTTTAGGGTGGTAGGTTCTATGTATATTTTGTTTTAGGCACTATTTCCAAATGGTGTATCAGTCTGAATGTACCAGCAGACACTCTTACCAGCAATGTTTCATATTCTCAGCAAGTTTGATATGATCAGTTCTTTTAAGTTAAGCAATTCTGGTGAGGACTATTTCATTCTCCATTTAGCTAACATGGTCAATTGTTTATTGACCATTTGAGAATACTTTTTTGTGGAGTACATTTTTAACCTTTGCTCTCTTCCACTGAGTCTTCAGGGAGTTTTCTTATTGTGTAATATGAGTTCTTAATATATTCCACTTAAGGATCCTTTGTCAAGTTATAAGCACTGAAATATCTTCTCACAGAATGTGAATGAGCCCTTCTTTGTAGACAAAACAAAACTAACAAAAGAACTGATGCTGTAGAGTCGATTCTGACTCATGGGGAGCCTGTGTGTTACAGAGTGGAATTGCTCCATAGGGTTTTCTTGGTTGGAATCTTTAGGGAAGGAGATCCTAGGCTTTCTTCCGCAGTCCTGCTGGATGGGTTAAAATCGCCAACCTTTGATTAATATAGGAAGTCAACCATTTCCAGCCAAGAAGTCCTTCTTAAGAAGAAAGGGACTTGAAGAACGAGGTAAGAAGAGAACAAAGAAAAGGGAGAGAGTGTGCTCGAGAAGTTGAAAATACAAATGCCACTGGACATTTCCCCTGGTGGTTGTGAACAAAATGGTCCCAGGAGGTTTACTGAGGAAGGAACTCTGGCTGATGTCTTGAAAAGTCCTAGGAGCAGAAACAGCATTGTGGTCTACTATCCCCTTTTGTTGTTGTTAACTGCCATCAAGTCGATTCCTACCCATAGGGGCCCTGTATAGGGTTTCCAAGGAGTAGCTGGTGAGCTTGAGCTGCCGACCTTGCAGATCAAACTGCTTTGCAATCTGGCGCATTAACCCACAGCGCCACACCAGGATTCCCTTACATATTTGTATTTCCTGGTGTAGCAGCATGAAAGAATATAGTTAGGTTTAAGAAATGATGGGATTTGACAGAGTGGATATTCTCTCTGGTCAATTATAGGCTCTGCGAAGACCTCTTAGAGAAAAGGCTAATATTTCAAGAAGGATTTCATGACATCTTTGCCATGGGAAAGGTGTGGTCTAATGGAGGTGGTGGAGTCCTGGTTTGGCGCTGTGGGTTAATGCGCTAGACTGCAAAGTCAGTTTGAACTGCAAGGTTGGTGGTTCAAGCTCACCAGTCGCTCCTTGAAAACCCTCTAGAGTGTCGCTATGGGTCGGAACCTACTCGACGGCACTTAACAACAACAATGAAGGTGGGGGCGTGTCCTTTCCTTGAGAGGGTTTGAAACCATACACACTCATCTTCTTTTTACAATTCCCAACATCTGCGTACTTTTCTCCTTTCGTCGTTGTTGTTAAGTGTCGCCGAGTCGGTTACGATTGTATATGGTTTCCTAGTCTGTAAGTCTTTGCTAGACCAGAAAGCCTTATCGGTCTCCCGCTGAGCTTCTGGTGGACTCGAACCGACGACCTTGTTCGCAGTTTGTCTTTAAATCTTTCCTGGTTTCTGTTCCGAAGGAAGACGTCAGCCACATGAATGTACTCAGTAATTCTCTTCCCTTTGCATTGTCATTGAAGAGCAAGACAGAAAAAGAGGGACGGAAAAAGAGAGAAAGACTAGGATCTCGAGCAGGGTCTAACGAGTGAAAAATCCCGGAGACGACCATACAGAAAATCTACCTTTAAAATCCATTCCGACACGTCCTCCGCCTCTAGTAACCCATCCACTGGCTTCAAAGATTGGATTGTATTTTTCACATATGGGTAGCAATGGAGCCAATATAATTTGGGTGAGTGAGTAAATCAGGATTAAATCTTTTTAAATATGCAAACCTTATCAATGGAAAGATTAAGTAATATTTTGAAGGTATGGGTAAAAACCATACTCCTAGGTAGCTGAAATAGCTCAGTTGGGAGAGTGTTAGACTCTAGATCTAAAGGTCCCTGGTTTGATCCTGGGCTTTGGCAGTTTTTGTCTAGCCTCCCGTAATTATTACCATTCATTTTTAAACTGTAACAATTGTATCCTAGAACTTTAAGATTATGATAGAATTTAGTGTAATACATCCACCCAACGGAAAACTCTATGTGTGTGTGTGTGTGTGTTAAGATGTGTATTTCTATACTTACATGCCACTGAACTTTTTACTGATTATAGTAAATCCAACAAAGTTGTATACATACATATTTTTATCACCCTCTCCTTTATTTACATATTCCTGAGGTCTTCTAGAAGGAGCTCTGGTAGCGTTGTAGGATAATCAATGGATTGCTAACCACAAGGTCGATAATTCAAACTCACCAGCAGCATTTTGCAAACCAAAAACCAAAACTAAAACGGAAATTCAGGTGACTATCCCTGGTGGCGCAATAGTTAAGTTCTAGGCTGCGAACCTAAAGAATGACAACCCAATCCATCCTGCAGCTGTGATGGAGATAGACTAGTGAATACTATAGTCTAGAAAACTCTACAAGGAAGTTCTACTCTGGAAATTGTGGCATTTCCAGTATTTCCAGTATGCTATATTCTGCTGCATTAACAACAAATAAACAACATATTCTGCTGCACTTAATTAGGAACCCAGGTGGCACAATGATTAAAGTGCTTGACTGCCAACCAAAAGTTCGGTAGTTTGAACCCACCAGCTCTTGCGTGGGAGAAAGATACGGCTATCTGCTACTGATCAGATTACAGCCTCAGACACCCTATGGGACACAGCTATCAATGGGAATCAACTCCAACTTGTGATTCATTTCTGCTTTGATATGTATTTAGAGGCATGGGAGAGAAGGGATTTTTTAAAGAGAATAATGTTTTGCAGTCTTGTAGAAAAAGAATCACTATACTTTATAAATGTATATGAGTGTTCAGTGTCAGATTACCTAATAAAAAAAGTAAGCGTGTTCTTACTTGTGCTACTTTACTAATCTGTAGTGAACAATTTCACACGAGTTTAGCATTTAAACTGCTCAATGCAGATAAGGCTTTGCTTAAGTTGCTTGTTGGGTAATATGCCCTAGGGGTGATGTATGCAAGGGAATTTTTGCAGTAAGAAAGAAAATCTTGGTTTATGCATTGAGTACACTCTATTATTAAACTGCTGAAACAAGACGAATTGTTGAACATCATTGAACTTGTAAACAATTTTAGGAACATTTTCAATTTTCTTGCTGGTAAGACATCTTGTAGCCTTGCACCCCTGTCCAAAATTTCCAAATCTTCAATTATTTCTGTTCATGGAAAAAACAAAAGTTAACAGTTCTATATAATAAAATCCTATTGAACATTTATGAGGGGACTTAGGATTCTAAAAAATGAAAGCAAATTACAATGAAGTCATCAAGATTCTGGTACAAATATTCCGTATTTCCCCCTCTAGCAATAACCTTTCTTGATATTCTTTTTGGGATAACAGATAATTTTTTTGTGCATTATTTTAAAATTATTTTTCTTCTTTTCTTTTCCTGAGTTTCACAGTATCTGTTTTCTACTGGAAACTTGATGAGGTCCTATGTCGGGTTCCAGCCTCGACAAGGAAGTGTGGATGTCATGAAGAAGGGAGATCTGGCGGCAAAAGGGATAGAGAAAGAGAGAGACGAAATATATACAAAAAAGACAGACACATAGATATGATGCAAGCTGGCAGGTAGACAGATCTGCAAACATATTGCCTAGCATTGCACGCAGAACTAACTCTACCTCAGTCTTTTATTCTCTTTTTTAGGGAGGGATTTGTTACAAAGGAAGGATGTAATTCACTCACAAAGGGAGGATGTGATTCTTTAGATAAGACAGGATACAGAACTGAAATGTGATTAATCATTCAAAACAGGACATAATGATTCACAGGAACAACTTTTAAAATATTTTCATAGTTTTTCTTAACAATCTAACATTCTTATTTCTACAGAAAAAAAGGTTCAATCAAGCTGTTATATATTAATTTTTAGGCTTAAATGATCTAGAGCAGTGACGTGCGGTTTCTTAAAGATATTTAACATAAAGCAAGGTTCCTGAAAGGAGCCAAGCTATCTCTATACACTTTGCAAACTTTTGTTTGTGAGCAAGATCTCAGGCACTGGGCTTCATTTATCTATATCTAAAATGCTACATTGTTCTTAATTATCACATTTCTACATACTTTCAGGAGGAAGGAGAGCATCTGGGTTAAACTGATTATATTCAGAGGTGGTTTAATGGGGCTGCCACTATTATCCTCTAATCCAACATTCCCAGAATTTACCATTCCACTTTATTTACAAACCTTGCATAGTTTTTTTCTAAAAACCTTCTGTCATAGTCCCAATATACCTGTTCCTGGCCTTTCTAAGTTATCTAAGGAAACTTTTACTGCCTCAGCTCTAAAAAGGGGTTTCAAAACCATTATTGTTCATGGATATCAAACATAACTGAATAATCAAATAAGGAGCAGTTCTGACATTCATCCCAGGTGGCTATCGCTTGTTCCTCAGAAAGATTTGTTCCCAGGACTCCATGCACTGCCAACACAGTGGAGGCATTAAGAGAGGCATTGTAAAAAGAAACCATTTTCTCAGAAGCTACAATTACTGGAGTTAGAAGCATAGCATGAACAATATTAGGACCAAAGAAAATTATACAGAGGTAGCCAACCAGTGAGTTTGCAAAAACCAATGAACCTGGGACATCAGGAGGTCACTTCCTTGGCCCTCAGGGCCCATGGCTTGCAGTCTTGAGGAGGGCCACGGGGTTGGATTTTCGTCCATGTCACAGGGCCACTGATCAACCCTGCGTATGCTGTCCCCAGCAGAAACTCCTGGACACTGTCAGGAAAAAATACTCTATAGTGCTCCAACACCAGAACTGCATCAAGTTGCAAAAGGAAAATTGATGCAAAGTAAGAAACAATATCAGGATAGGGACATTGATTGTCCAAAACCTGGGAACAAAACACTATCCATTAAGGTGCTCAGTTGAACTCAACTCATGCTTGCGTTTCATTTCTTTAAGAAACATTTGATTGGACAAACAGAATAACCGAGTGTTTTATTACTTAACTGAACAAGGTCTGAGGAGGGAGACCTAGGGCAGTTACCAAAATGTAGTCTCCATTCAATATCTGAAAATGAATCAAATGACTATTTTGTAAAAAAAAAAAGGATGTTGTACAGGAACCATACCTCACACTATATACAAAAACTAACTAAAGATGGATCAAAGACCTAAATGTAAAATCTAAAACTACAATAAGCATCAAATAAAAACAAATAGCGGCAAGCATTGTTATTATTGTTAAGTGCCGTGAGTTGGTTTCTACGAATGGCCATCACTATAGGGTTTCTGAGGAGCAGCTGGTGGTTTTGAACCGCTGACCTTGCAGTTCAAACTGACTTTTCAGTCCAGTGCATAGCCCTGCAAATTTAGGGGCCTTGATTCAAGCTCACCAGCCATTCCTCAGAAACCCTATACACGTTGCTAAAAGTGGAAACCAACTCTTAACAATGGCACTTAACAACAAATACGTGACAGAGTCCTTGTGTAGCGCCTTAAGATAAGCACTTGACCTCATGATTGGTTTAAATTTTAAGGTCGGTGGTTCAAACTCACCAGCTCCTCGGACACCATATACAGGGTTTCTATGAGTCAGAACCGACTCGACGGCACACAATAACAACAATATGTGATAAGAGGTACTGGTGTGATGCTGTGGGTTAATGTGCTGGACTGCAAAGTCAGTTTGAACTGAAAGGTTGGTGGGTCAAGCTCACCAGCCGCTCTTCAGAAATGCTATAAAGGGTCACTATGGGTCGAAACTGATCTGATGGCATGTAAAACAACAACAACAATATGTGATAAATATGCTATCAAACATAACGAAAAATACACAAACAGCAGAAGACAAATTAAATGATTGGCATCTTTCAAAAATTAAATATTTATGCACATCATATGTGTGCATCATATATGGGTCAGATGCACCTTAGTCCTCAAACTGACATCTTTACCCTTGAGCCTTTTAAAGGGGTCTTGTGCAGCAGATTTGTCTAATGCAATATGTCATTTGATTTCTTGACTGCTACTTGCATGAGTGTTGATTGTAGATCCAAACAAAATGAAGTCTTTGACAGCTTCAATCTTTTCTCTGTTTATCATGATTATTATTTATGGTCCAGTGGTGAGGATTTTTTTTTTTTTTCTTTACGTTGAGGTGCAATCCATACTGCATGCATGTGAAGTTTGGGCAATGAATAGGAAAGATGGTAGAAGAATTGATGCATGTTAATTATGGTGTTGGAGAAGAATATAAAAGTATCCTCGACTGCCAGAGCAAACAAATTTGGCTTGGAAGAAGTACATTCAGAATGCTACTTAGAAACTAGAATGGAGAGACTTTGTCATATTTTGAACATGTTATCAGGAGGGATCAGTTCCTGGATATCATCTTGTCAGCATCTTCTCCCACCTCTTACCCAGGCATCATGCTTGGTAAAATGGAGAGTCGGTGAAAAAGAGGAAGACTCCCAAAGAGATGGATTGACACAGTAACCGCAGCAATGGGCTCAAACATAACAACAATTGTAAGGATGGTGCAGGACCGGGCAATGCTTTGTTCTGTTGTGCATAGGGTCACTATGAGTAGGAATTGACTCAATGGCACCTAACAAACAAAAACTTCATAGATACATCAGAGAACTGAGATCACAGGAACCACCACCCTGGAAACTAGAGAGACAAATAAGCAGATGTAGAGAATCCATGCTTATTAGGAGCAGAAACCGCCACTGCATCTGGGTCCAGCATTGGTTGCAAATAGTCATTTATGCTGGAGACTGAGTGTGGACTGGCTTAAGAGGGAAAAAACTGGAGGCCTAGCTTTAGGAGGTTCCTCACATGGTTGTGAATTTTACCATGAGGATCAGCACCAGATTCTCATTGTGACATTCCCTAGTTCTTCCAGCACAGAGAGGAGAGTGAGGGGAAGTAACCA